GTACAGATAATTGTGTGAAAATGTAAGAAGTAGAAGTAAAAAGTAGGCTGAAAAATAATTACTCAATTATACCCAAAAATTCTACCTATGTACAGTAACAAAGTATTTGTACTTTGTTATTTTAAAGCTCTGCTTCTGATGTTCAAATATTTGCAATCTAGCAGACTCGTGCAGGATCATTCTACTCTGTCATGAAAAAGTCTTCCTTGGATTTATTTTAAAACTGTTGCTTCAGCATTAAACACTTGAAACACCTTAAACGATAACATAGAATCCAAGCTCCAGTGTGGTGTAATAACATAACATTTATCCTGACAGTATTTCTCTCCTTAAAAGTCACCTGTGAGTTTGAATGTGTCTGTTAGCTTTAACACACACAGGAACTTTATGTTCATAAAGACACAGTCAGAATTATCTGTGTATGTGTGTGTGTGTGTGTGTGTGTGTTCGAGAGGAGAACGCGAGAGGTGCAGATGACACCAGAGGACATGGGAGCCACTGAGATAGTGACAGAGCGTGAGAATCTATATATGTTCTCAGCAGCACGGATTATAGGAGGGAGGCTAAATTTGGAGATGCAGCCAAATCCATAGAGCCGAGATGAACGCAGTAACCAGTCTGACTCAGTCTGCAGCCTCACMGTGTCACACTGAAGGAGGAACCACGGTGAAAAATGTGGGATTGGACAAGAACTCGTRCAGGAAACTGGAAAAGCTCTCCTCCAAATAACAGAGCTGCTCCTCAAACTAAGAATGCAGCAACAGAAATAGTTGTGTTTGTTTTTTTTAGAAAATATCTTGTGAACCAATAGGTGGATTTTCAGAAAACCACAGGATCTACTTTCTACAGATCGGCTAATCAACCTCAGCAAACACAAAATGATTGTGGTGTTGTGTGGTAGTAGCCGGCAGTCATCCTTATCTACTCTCTGAGCGCTAATGGTTCTTGCAGGGCGGCTGACCACATTCCTTGAAGGASAGCTAAAGTTTCATCCTCGGGCGTTTTGAGGTTCCAGAAACTGTCTGCTTGTAGAAAGCTGCTGTGAACTAATCTGAATTTGAGATGGTGTAACTTTGATGTGTCACAAAGCTGTGGATCTTTGAACCAGGGTGCTCCAAGTGGCAGTCAAAGCAAYGCAGAGGGCTGCAGAGCTCTGGGTGGTAAAGTCAGCGATAATGCATTATTAAGCCGGCCACATGGATGAATATTTTACACGATTTGTCACTGTTGACTCCAGCTGTTAGAAGCCAGCTCCTGGTCAGTGGAAATGACTGGTCATGGYCTTTCAATCTGTAGGAACTCGCTTTTTAATCAATTATGACGCTTTTTTTTCCTTCTTAAAAATAACGATTAAAAAATTCTACACAAATGAACTTTTGTTAAGTCTTTTATCTTTTCCTCTTTTCCCTGTTGGCCTTTACATCAAAGCTTTTTTTTTTTACTTTGTCCACAAGAAGATGGAGGATCTTCTGCAGAGGACACATGTRAGGCAACATTTGGGTGGGGTCGTGCTGCAGACGGGTGGATGGTGAATTAGCCCGCTCTCTTCCGTCACTGCGAGCAGAACGGTACACGCCTGCAGCCAGTCGTGCGTGGATAAGCAAAGGAGACTCACAGCTAAATAATTCATCCCAACGGGAGCTTTCTGAATTCACACACACACACAAACAGTGTCATCTCAAAAGGAGCTCTGACTCCAACAAGAAGGTTACACACATAAATGCACACTCACTCATAAAGAGCAAGCTTCTAATTTTACTCTGCGATGAATATTTATACTGTAGCTACATGAAGAACCCATTGTCTTGGAATTACRCAACAGCCTGGTAGACGAAAGACTCTTGGTTTTGTTTGTGAGAAAACATACATTTTATAAGAAAGTACACAAAAGTGGATTTTATTTTTACTTCCTGTTTGCTGGTAGTTTGAGATTCAAACCAGAAAAATGACATTGTTTGCGAAAACGCTGGGTGAAATTTGAGGGGTAATGCAGAAATATGCTTATGAGGCTAAAACTGAGTCAATAAAGCAAAGGGAAGAGTAAAAAAAAAGCTAAAGCAAAAGCTAAATGTAGCTGAAAGATAAATGTTTTAAAATGCTGATTAAAAAATCAAAAAGTAGCCAAATAATGACTAAAATAAAAACATAGCTAGAAGTAGAAAAATGCTAGCTATAAGCTAAAACAAGCAAAAATAAAAACAGAACCTTAAATGTTAGTTAAAAGCAACAAATCATTCGCTCCAAATAGCATAGCAAAAGCTAAAAGTAGCTCAAGAAAGACAAAATTCAGGGTTTTTTAAGCAGATTTCAAACAGAACAATGTTTTTGAATAAATTGCAGAGACTCAATGTATTTCCTGGATTGTTATATATAATTAAATAAAACCAATATGAATGTTCTAAAAACTANGAACAATGTTTTTGAATAAATTGCAGAGACTCAATGTATTTCCTGGATTGTTATATATAATTAAATAAAACCAATATGAATGTTCTAAAAACTAAAAGAAAGCTGAAGTTTGTGATTAAGCAAAAACTATTAATATGTGAATTGTTAAAATAATAATAATAATATGCAGACATAGTTAATACCAAAATATAAAACGATAGTCTGAACATTCACATATTTAAGAAAAACATCCACAAAAATCTTAAAGATTTTTAGCTGGGTTTCAGTTTTAAAAAAATCAGAAGTTACTGTACATATGGCTAAAATAATATCTCACACTTGATGACTAGAAGAAAATGCTGGAAAAGGAAAAAAAAAAAACAAATGAAACTTTTGCTTTTATCCTCAATTTAATCCCAACCTGATTCCTCAGCAGATCTGCAGAGGTGACAGAAAGTCTTTTAGCAGAATTTCCACRTGGCTGCGCTCCATGCTTCATCAGTAGCTTAGGCTACATTGTTTGATACATCATCAGCTGAGCAGATGCTTTACTGCGCAGGGTTTGTAACCAAATTGGCTTTTTGAGAACAAGCTTCCTGTTTTACCAGAAACGTTGAAGAGGAACTACGCTCAAACATTTTTTAAGAACTTCTTTAACGACCAAATCAGCAGTTTGGACAGAGACAGCAGCGTCGTTCACTTCTGCCAGTGTCACCTTTTTTAATCCCCTCAAACAATTGCAAACAAGAACAGAGCACTGGAATCCCCCAGATCAGCCACAGACAACAACATTTACTAACATTTAACAGTAAGTTTGCACGTCCTTTTAAATGTACAAAACAAAATCGTCACAACTTTTACTTCACTCAAACTTTCTGTGGAAGTGACACCGTCTGAGGGACAGACAAAACCTCATATTTCTAATATGTGCAACAGGTAAGATACTTGTTGTTCATAACCTTTAAACAAAACCCAACTTGAAAACATCTCTATCTCTTTAAAGTTGTAGAAATGTTTTGACAAAGCGCTCATGTGGACATGTCCAAGTCCCCCCAGCATATAGCTGAACTGCACACATCCAGACACAAACACAAGCAGCTGTAACAGTTTTATATATATACAGACATGGAGTCTGACAGGCTAGAGTTTCACTGCTGATTGCCTTTATTGTTTTTATCACATCAGTCAGATGGAATCAAAAGGAAAAGGAGAGTGAGAGTCCAGACTGAAGTGTTGAGTTTCAGGTCAATAAATACTTTGTTTTTGTTGTTCTGAATAGAGAAGTGCTTTCTGTGCTTCAGAACGAGTTGATGGACAACTAAACTATTTTTAAAATATGACCCTCAGGTTATCTAATAACTGTGTGTGTTTGTGTCTGTCATGTTAGCAAAATATTTCACAAACTACCTGATGGATTGAACAAAAGATATTAGGTAACAAAATAGGAGTTGCTCACTCAAAATTCAAAGATTTTAGATAAAATGATTAACTTTTAAAGTCTTTTGAAATCTTCTTACAGCTGTGACTTTGTCTGTAATCAATATCAAAAACTGAGTTATCTGTAAGTTCTTTGAATGTACTTTCAAAGGCTTAATTAACACGTGAGAGACCTCTGACTTTGTGCTTTTTTCTTTTCTTTTTTTTTCTTTTTTACGTTTTAGTTTTTCTCGATCTTGCTTTCCTCAGAACACCAAACAGATTAGAAGTTAAAGCCCTAAGGCCTGAGGAGATGGCTGGCTGTTTTTCTTTTATCAATTAAAGATTTCTGAACCGGGTGAAATTATGCAGCCGTTAATTATGAGCTCGACAACAACGGCTGGGAAAACAACAACAACAACAAACCCAAACAGAGGCAGAAGAAGGGAAAAACACACCCCCATAATCAAGCTCTAACATTTGGTAAACACACAGAGGGAGGAAATGTATACTTCACTTTCACACTTTCTCCCATACATTAACACACACACACACAAACACACACACACACAAACACACACACACACACTCTGAGCAGCAGCCGCCTACAGTCAGCTGGGACTGAATCGGCAGGTTTCCAGCCTGAGAGAATTTATGTTTCTGAATGATTAGAGTCGAAGCGGACAGGACAGTGTTGGAGGCAGCAGCTGTA